GCCAAAATTCCTTCAAGAGTTTAAGGTAGATAAAAAGAATTCCTTCTTCTGGTTCCAGAGGTAAATCCTTGGGATCAGAACTTCCATTGTAAGCAAGGTGGGGTTCAGTGAGTTATGCCCAATTTTAAAACTTGTTTGTTTGCATCAGTGTTATAGCACATAGAATCATAGCAGTTGTTAAGAGAAAATGCAATCATTAAAAGAATCCAGCTTCCTTCACTGACTTTACTTGTTGGAAGGTTGCAAATGATGAACATATGACCCCAGGGTGCTGCAACCATCATAAATACATGATGCTTGTCAAGCACCAAATTTTTTTTTATAAAGTTTTATTAATTTTCTATTGTTTACATTTGGTTAGTGCTTAATAAACATAGTGTTGTCTGGGTTATTTTATTTTCTTAGCAGTACAGATTACATTCTTAATCTCCACCCCCTTTTTTCCAACCACTGTTAGAATAATTTCCAAGTTTGATAATATTCTGTATCTTCTTTCTGTTTAATCTTCAATGTAAGTCTGTCCATTTCTGCACAATCCAAGCACCCAAATTTTGATCCTGTGATTGTGGGACAACCACATTGCTGTGACAGTGCAAGGACCAATTCTAAATTACTATCAGTGCTGCTGTAACTTCGAACAGTCGCTAAACAGTTGTAAGTCAAGAACTACTTACTCTGCAGCAACAACTCTGTGAAGTAGGTTTAGTTGAGGGACACAAATCCAACTGACGTCCATGATAGCATGGAGACTTAAACCTGAATGGATCTGTACAACCCAGCCCCAACACACAAATTGCTGCAACAGGTTGCCTCTTAGCTACGCTTTTATTGTCTCATACAGCTCGATAATTATGCTAATGCAAGTTCCTATTTTTTGAAAGCATATTACCTACCTTCCCACCCCATGAGTCAAAAGGCCATCAATTATTACCTAGCTTTTGTTTTGACAGACACAGGTGACTTGACATAACAACTACCCTCCGAGCTTCTGCTAATTCCTAGCCAAGTCACGTATCTAAATAAATTAGCAGGTTTGCAAACTGAAGATTGCAGGGACGGTAACATTTGAGGGCTTGACTTGCAATGTAGCCTCCTGACCTCCAGGTGGGCTAATTCAGTTTTTGGCTTTTGCAGAGCAGGTGTTAAGAGTGCAGATGGGGATGGTGGACTCAAAGGAAGGGACCAGTTCAAAGTCACCCAGAGAAATTTTGTAGCTAAAGAATTTTATTCTCTCTACTCCCAGTCTAGCATCTTCACCACTTCTCAACTGTGACTCTTGGGTTAGGAAAAATGGATTGGCTTAGAAGCCTTGTGGGAAGCAACAGAGTTTGCACTGATAATATTACCTAGTTTGGTAACGAAACGTCTGCAAGAAAACCACCAAGCTCAGAGAGCACCAAGAATCCCACAAAACCATAACATGTAAAGAAATTTGGGGCTTTCTGTCTGAATGATCTTCCTCATGAGATGCCCTTTCTGGAGAGAGTTT